GGCATCGTCATCGCCGTCGCCGCCTGGCACTTCTGGTACTTCGCGCCCTTCACCTACGGCACGGAGATCACCACCGAGCAGGCCAACAGGATGGAGTGGCTTCACGCCTGGGGCGCCTAAACCAGCGGCACAACCTTCACCACGCGCCCACACTCCTTCTCCCCCCTCTCTCTGCCTCTCAATAGCTCTTTTCCCCACCTCCAATCTCCACCTCTGCGCAATGAAGACGAAGAAGAAAGAGGTGAAGGCGAGGAACAAGAAGGACAAGAAAGAGTCCAGGTCCTCACTTCATCTCTTTTCTCTGAGCATCCCTTCCACCTTCTTCCTGACCCCACACATTTAGAATGTAAAAGCAGAAAATAAACAAAATAACAAATAATAATTGAATTATGTGCAAATTAGTAAAAAAAACCATGGACCAACAAGCTTGAAGAGCAACCTGCTGCAACTCCGCATACTCCCAACCACACGCGAAGCAGAGTGCTCCACATTCTTGACTCCAATTCCGTGCTCTGGGGCCACGACGCAGCCTGCTCGACTCCTCCACCTTGTGTGGTGTGTACAGACATCTATTCAACCAGCAAACAATCATGAGCTCAGAGTGGCAGGAGTTGCAGTCTCTGGACGGCCAGACCTACTACTACAACCCCTCCTCTGGCGAGACCACGTACGTGCTGCTGCCCACTTTCCTCCCCTTTTTCTCACTCCATCCGTGTGCATTCGCCTCAACTCCTTGAAAGATGTGCCCTCACTTAGTAATCAACACTTTCCTCCCTGCCTGTCTGGCCAGCTGGGAGAAGCCCGACTTGCTCAAGACCCAGGAGGAGAAGGAGCTCACCACCGTATGCCCCCTCTCTTCCTCTTCCCCCCTTCATTCCACTTTCCTCTCAAGTCTGGTGCTGGGCTGAGCTCACCCTGGGTGGGTGCTGCGCGCTGGCCGGCCGGGGTGCGCAGGGCAATTGGAAATGGATACCCCACGACGTCGAGGGCTATGTGGTGGGCCAGACCGTGCGCGAGTACCATGACGGCACCATCTTCGTCAAAACCATGGCCGGCGAGGTGCGGCACATAGCGCGAGTTCTGTGTGCGGTGGTGCGTGTGCGGTGGTGCGTGTGCTGAGCGTAGGGCTCGTATGCAGGAGTATGAGACCAAGGTGCCCGATATCGACGCGCTGACGCGAGTCAATCTGGTCGAGCTCAAGAAGCTCACCGACGATCTCGTCAAGCTGGAGACCGTCAACGATCCCTTCATCAATCACAACCTGCGCGAGAGGTGCAAGATCGACAACATCTACGTACGCTTTCCTCACTACGACACCAACCAACCGACACTCTCACCAACACACACACACACCACACACCACACAACGCTCCTATTCACCTGCGCGTGTGCCGTGTGTGTCCTAAATCACAACAGACGTGGGTCGGAGATATCTTGATTTCGATCAACCCCTACCGAACGCTGCCCATCTACACGGCCAGCATCATGGACCGGTACCACCACGAGGACAACACCCGACTGCCGCCGCACGTCTTCGCCATCGCGAACGATTGCTACAAGGCCCTGTACGCCTCCCCTTTCATCTTTTTAACGCCGACATCGCCAGTCTGACGCTGACGTCGTGCGTGTGTCGTGCGTGCGTCGTGTGTCGTGCGGCAGGTATGATACTAAAATGAACCAGTCGGTGATTATCAGCGGAGAGAGCGGTGCCGGTAAGACGGAGGCCACCAAGCTCATCCTGCAGTACCTGGCCGAGGTGGCCGGCAGCGTGGACGGAGTGGAGCAGCAGGTGCTGCTGGCCAACCCCATTTTGGAGGCCTTCGGCAATGCCAAGACCCTCCGCAACGACAACAGCTCGCGCTTCGTACTTTTCCTTCGTTCTTTCCCCTCGTTCGTGCGGTGGACCGCACGCAACGCCTACATGTAGTGGACGCCAGGACTTCTCACACTTTTTCATTTCACAGGGCAAGTGGATGGAAATCCACTTCGACAACGAGATGAAGATTGCCGGATGTAAGATTGTCAGCTGTACGCCTCCAGTCCCGTGATTGTCTTCTTCGATGTAAAACACAAAGGCACCGGTTGGCGGCTCACACGTTCCGAATGCGCGCGCGCGTGTGTGTGCGACGCATCAGATCTCCTGGAGAAGTCGCGGGTGGCGTCGCAGGCCAAGAACGAGAGGAACTTCCACATCTTCTACCAGCTGCTGGCCGGTGCCGACGAGAAGCTGAAGGAGGAGCTCTACCTCGACCGGCCCGAGAACTTCCTCTACCTCAACACCACTGGTACGTACCCGCCTCTTGCCCACATCGACATCGCGTTGTAGAAGAGAGCGGAGATCTCACCACTCCCGGTGCACATGTTGACCAACTACTAGGCTGCATTCAACTCCCTGGCACCGACGACGCCTCCAACTTCCAAGAGACCATCGTACGCGCAAACACGCACATACGAAAGGTGTGAAGCTAAGCTCACCATTTAATAATACAGGAAGCGATGAAGCAGCTCAACTTCTCCGATGCTGAGAAGAATCAACTGCTGCGCGTGGTGGCCGCTATTCTGCAGCTGGGCAACATCGTGTTTGGTCCCAACCGCGACGGCTCCGGTTCTGTCGTCACCAACCAGGACGGTACAGCTTCCCCCAATGCACCCCCTCTCATCACTACAACGCCAACGTCTCAACTCATCAATCACTCATTATTCTCTCTCGACAGTTCTCGAGTGTGCGGGCTATCTGCTGAGCGTCCCAGCGGTGCGTGCTTTTGTTGTTGGTCGTGTCGTGTCGTGATCGCAAGCGTGCCATGGATGGCTGGATCGGTGGCTGATGCGCTTTACGTCCCGCCGCAGGATCTGCTCAAGGAGTCCCTGACGGCGCGCCAGTTCCAGAGCGCGGGCCGCGCCAGCGCCTATTCGGTCCCGCTCACCGTCCAGCAGGCCAAGGACAACAGGGACGCCCTGTGCCAGACCATGTACGGCTCCATGTTCAACTGGATCGTGGCCAAGGTCAACCAGACCCTCTCCGCCCCGCTCGCCGGCAAGAAGACCACCGTCATCGGCGTCCTCGACATCTTTGGCTTCGAAATCTTCGAGGTTCGTCTTGTTGTCGTGCGTCTCGTGGTGTGTGTGTCGTGTCGTGTCGTGTGTCGCACGCGACTAATCTGGTACCCTGCTACGCTCAATAGAAAAACAGCTTTGAGCAGCTGTGCATCAACTTTGCCAACGAGAAGCTGCAGCAGCACTTCAACGCGCACACCTTCAAGAAGGAGGAAGAGGTCTACCGCAGCGAGGCCATTCAGTTCACTCACGTCGAATTCATCGACAACCAGGTGGTGCTGGACCTCATCGAGAAGAAGCCGAACGGCCTCTTCACGATGCTCGACGAGGAGATCATCGTGCCCAAGGGCACCGATCAGACCTTCCTCAAGAAGATCAACGAGGAGCACGGGCGCAACAAGAACGAGCGCTTCAAGCAGATCCTCACCTCGCCCACCAAGTTCGGCATCCACCACTACGCCGGCGCCGTCGAGTACGAGGTGGACAACTTCCTCGACAAGAACAAGGACACCCTCCACGCCACGATCGTCGAGGTATCGCTCAGCTCGGCCGTCGTCTCCACACGAGCTGCAGCATGCGATGCTCACACACTGTGGTGTGTTGTGTGTTGTGTGTTGTGTGTTGTGTGTTGTGTGTTGTGTGTTGTGTGTTGTGTGTTGTGTGTTGTGTGTTGTGTGTTGTGTGTTCAGCTCATGTCGCTCAGCGAGGTGCCGTTCATTGCGAGCCTCTTTGCGCCCACCGCGTCGGGTCCCTCTCCCGCCGCCGGAGCTCCTGCCGGTATGCCGCTGCAGAATTGCTCGCATACCGAAGAAATTGCTGACATTCCTGGTCTCTTCACGTGTGAAAGGCCGCGGCAGGGGCCGAGGCGCAGCTCCTCCGCCGGTGCCCTCGCGTGGTGGTCCGGGAGGCGCCGCCGGTGGCGGCAGCGGCCAGTCGCGCAAGGTGAGCTTGGCCAGTCAGTTCAGGGACCAGTTGGGCGCGTTGATGGACACCCTAACGCCACCAGCCCGCACTACATTCGCTGCATCAAGCCCAACGATCACAAGCAGCCCGCGGCCGAGGTACTCTTCACGCAACACAACACAACACGTCACTGTTGCACTAATGGCTCTCAACTGAATCAATCGTGCGCAGTCCTTCACCGGAGCCAACGTGCTGCGTCAGCTGCGCTACGCCGGCGTGTTCGAGGCCGTCACGATCAGGCGCACGGGTTTCCCGTACCGCATGAAGCACAGCGACTTCTTCAAGAGGTATCCACTCCCACCATCACCATCACTATCACCGCATATTCCATTGGCGCTGTTTTTGTTTTGTGTGTCGTGTGTGTCGTGTGAGTTGTGTGTGTTGTGCATTTTGTAGATACTGACATGTGGGTGCGCAGGTACAAGGCGGTGATGATGCACCAAGGCCTCCCCATTCCGCCCACCAAGAGCGACGCCGACTGGAAGACCGCGTGCGGGTTGGCGCTCAAGGCCGTGGAGAAGGCCGGCAAGACAATGGCCGGCGTCCAGATCGGTAAAACGATGGTCCTCTATAAAGCCGTCCAGGTACGACACACTGCCCACCACCCCTCACCGTTCGGACAGATCATCGACTCACGCACTCGTTCGTTTCGACTTTCGTTCGTGCAGCACAAGGAGATGGAGTTGATCAGGAACGTGGCGCTGGAGAAGGCGATCCTCACCGTGCAGCGCTTCACCAGGGGCTGGCATGGCCGCGTCTACGCTCGGTACGTTCCACCTCTCGTTTGTTGTTTCGTTTCGTTTCGTTTCGTTTCGTTTCGTTTTGGAATAGTTTCCAATCTATTCATTGCGGTGCAGGCGTCTGCGGGAGGTGCGTAAGAGGCTGAGGGACGCCATTGCGAGCCGCAACCTCGACCGACTGAACGAGGCCATCCGCCACCACGACGCCGAAGCCGACTTTGAGATCCTGCCCTACTATGGCCAGGCCGTGGAGCTGTACGGTCCCCTTTCATGAATGTTAAATATTAATGTGTTGCTAACATTGATGTGTTCTTAAATTAAGGCGCAACATTGTGGTTGAAGAAGTGCGCGTGGCTGGCCTTCTGCGCGCGGCCCTGCAGGCGTGCGGCAACAATTACCATCCGTCTCCCGCGGCGGTTGCCTCGCTCGACGAAGCCGTCTCGGCCGCCCGCAAGATCGACTTCCAGAGCCCCGGTACACTTCTCGTTCTTCTTCGCTGTCTCTTTCGCTCTTTGCTTCTCTTCCGTTCTTTTTTGTCAGGCTCATTTTATTGGTGGTCGATCACCCAACAACTGTGACGCAGAGGCCACGCAAGCGTATCAGCTCCACAAGGAGGTGTTCGACCGAATCAACACCAAGAAGGAGCTGGAGCGCGGCACGCTGGAGAGCGACTATAAGGCGCTCGACCACTCCCTCGCCGAGGCCCAGCGCCTGGGCTTCAACATGAGGTTTGGCCTCACCTCCTTATTAACACTTTGGCGCCTACGCGGTGCCCTTACACCCCGTCGCGTCGTGTGCGTGTCGTGTCTTTTTTGTCACCAGTGATTCGCTGGTGACCAAGGCGCGCGAAGAGCACCAGCGCATTCAGGAGGAGAAGAAGCATCTGGCCGTGTTGCGTGCCGCCTTGTCGCTTCCCGACGAAGACCAGGTGGCCGATCTCAGCTACAATTCCTCGCAGCTCAACCCCAAGATCAAGATCCACTCCGACGTACGTCTCCCACCGCACGCACGGCACGCACGGCACGCACGGCACGCACGACTAACGTTCTTCGTGGGGTTTGGTCGGGGCAGGTGGGTTCGATGGGACTGGTGACCAAGCAGCCCGGAGCGGACGAGGATCTGGCCAACGCGCTCCGACAGGCGCAGTCGTTCGGGTGCAAGACCGCCGACGGTCGTCGCCTGCTGGTGTCCGCCCAAGTGGTCACTCAGCTGCGCCAGGCCATCGCGCGCGATGACTGGGACGGCGTCGAGAAGGTCCTGTTGGCCAACAAGATGGGCGACTCCGAGGAGCTCATCAAAACGGTACTCCAGACCACCGTCCGATCCTGCGCGTGCACGCTCATTTATTTTTTATATTGTACTGACCAATGGTCACTTGCTGCAGGTGGAGATGTCTGCGGCCCACGATCAGCTCGTGTTGCGGGCCAAGAAGGCCGAAGTCGAGGAAGCGCTCAATGCCGCCGCTCACGCCTTCGACCACCACGGCCTGCAGCTCGCGCTCGGTACACGACCATCTTTTGCTTTTCAAACTATTGCTATCTTTTTTCGTTCGTTCGTGTGACTAATCCAACGAGCGTCGTCGTCTTGGTCGTTGACCTTGTCTCGGTGCAGACAAGGCGAACAGCTTGAAGATGGAGGTGGCCTACTACCAGAAGCTGCACGACGACATCGTGGCCACGCAGCAGGCCATCGCGGACGGACTCTACCAGGTCGACGAGCAGCTGCTCAACTACGCCATCGACCTGGGCGACGCCATCAACTACAAGCTCGACGACTACTACCAGGCCGTGGACCTGCGCGACCGTCTGCACGCGGTCCAGCAGGAGACGCTGCATCAGCTCGACGTCATGCCCGACGTCGAGCTGATGCAGGAGCTCATCGGCCGAGCCGGGCAGGTAGGTCTCCATACGCCCGAGTTCAACGAGCTGTGCAACTACGCCGACCTGGAGAAGGAGGCCCTCGCCAAGGCCCAGCTCAAGTCGGCCATCAGGCGGAAGGACAACGACCGCGTCATCCAACTCAACATCCGGCTCAAGGGTATGCTTTTAGCTCCGAAGCGGTTTTCCTCTATTCGCATTCGCGACACTGATCTTTAGCTCCTATGTCATATCTCGCGCCCTGGATACAGAGATCTTCTTCACCATGTTCGGCAACTCGTTCGTGCTGTCCCAGTGGCAGAAGGTCAAAACGCCCAACGAGTTCTCCAAGGGCAAGCTCTTCGGCAAGGAGAAGGTCCGCACCTCCATGTTCGTATGGAGCAAGGTACCTTTTGACTCGCACGCACGCACCGCCGCACACACCTGCGCACGCACCATCGCACGCGCGCGCATAATTTTGTACGAGAGTGCTAATGATGGTATTTTGCATCGTGCCTCGCAGCAAGCGATTCACACGTCGATGACCAAGATTGACGTCCTGCTCAGCAAGCCCGCAGTCCTGTGCTTCAAGAACATCCTGGGCTACATGGGTGACAAGGTCATGCAGTACCCGTCCATGCTGGGTCGCGAGATCGTCGAGAAGGCGATCCAAGAGCCCGAGCTCCGCGACGAAGTCTACGTGCAGCTCATCAAGCAGACCACCAGCAACCCCAACCCGTACTCTCCCCCCTAGCACCCACACCTGCGACAAGGCCCAACGTTGCGGCTGACCACGAGACTTGATGTCGTGCGCCGCACGCAGGGAGAGCGAAGCCAAGGGCTGGAAGCTGTTCGACCTGTGCCTGTCGTCGTTCCCGCCGTCGCCCGAATTCGAGAACTACCTCGAAATCCACCTCCGAAACCTCAACCCCTCGCCCACCAACCCCTACCGCGAGAAGCTGCACAAGATCGTCTACAGGTGCGTTCCCCCCACCACCACACCTCGTTGTCGTCAGCTCGTTGAGCGCTCACCGTTTCGTTTGTGGCTTTCTTTCGAACTCGATCGTGCAGTGGTGCTGTAAGCGTTCCTCCCGCCGCGCAGGCCTTCGAGTGAGCCTGCGTGTACAGCCACATTAAACATACAATTTATTTATTTGTTTTTTGCTATTTATTTGGCCTTTGTGAGGTAAGCGATGGACGAGGAGCATGAGGTACTGACGGACACTGGAGAAGAAGAACTGCCGTCGTACTATGAGCGCGGGGTGCCGTTCCTACCGTGTGCGGACGCGCACCCCAAGGTGTCGTGCCTGGGGAAGGCCCTCTTTGATGCGCGGGTCATTGCTCGCTACGGCCTGGGCCTCAACCTGCCCTTTCATGCCCTCTCGGCCATCTTCCCACTCCTCCTTGCCACCTACCGGCGCCGCACTTGGCCCTCTCCACGGTACCCCCCTTTGATGATTAATCTTTGATGATTAATCTCTTTTCATTGATTAAATTATTTATTATTTATTTTTTAAAAATAATTTAATCAATTGCTTCTTCTGACATTGATCTCCGCGTGCACCACACATGCAGGGACTGGGTGGTTGCAGCGAAGAAGACAGCACGCAACACGATGTGGTCGACGCTCTTCTTTTGTTCGTTTGGTTTCTTCTTCAGCGCCCTCTACTGCCTTCTACGAAACCTTCGCAAGGCACCACACCCTCCCCTATCGCCTCACCACGTTCGAGCTCTTACCAGGTTCAACCTGCTCGTCGTGGACGGGTCCACATCAATACAACAGAAGGACGATGACTGGTCTCCATTCCTGTCGGGGCTGCTCAGCGGCTCGGCCATGCTGTGCGAGCAGGACGAGCGGCGTACCGAGCTGCTCTCCTTCGCCATGCCCCGGTTTGCCGAAGTGGTGTGGGGCCTCGCGGAGAAGCGCGGCTACGTCCGCACCATCCCCTACGGCGCGCCTCTCCTCTTTGCCCTCGCCCTGGTGCGCGCGCTCTCTCTCTCCCCAGCACAAACTCTCCCAGACCTTGACAACTCTCGCTCCCGCAATCACTGCCTCCACTCCGCACACTCATGTGTGTGACTCACAGGGAGTGGTGATGCGCGCGTATCGCCGAGAGCCTCGGAGCCTGAAGCCAGTCTATCGCACTTTCATCAAGCACGCGTTCATGCTCTGATTGCCCGTGCGGTGCACGGTGCAGACCAGGATCGCTCTCGATCGCGATCGCTGCACTCATACGACCGCGCATCCATCCGTGATGAGGGCGGTCTCTTGCACGGAGCTACAACAGAGCCTCGCCACGGGTGGAGGCACGTCGAGCACGAACGGAAGGCTCTCTGCCTCATTGACCGGAGCTTCGAACGATCATCGCGGTATTGGATTGGCGAGATTTGCATGAAAATCGAGCGGAAAGTCAGGCAATCAATTAAAGAAAAAACAATGGGCCACGCAGGCAAACGATGGAGACGACGATGTACAAGAAGAGGAAGGAGAGAGATGAAGAGGCAAAGGAGGAGGGTGCTGGCACGATGACCGATCCAGTGCCCAGCAAGGAGACCGCTCCAAGCAAGAAGCCTCGCGGCAGCGTACGAGAGGAGGGGGACGACATGCTGCTGCTCCTCGCCAAGACCCGCGTTGAAGAGCTCGCCCCCACCCAGAAAGGTCGACCTCACCTCCTCTCTTCTTTTTGCCTGCGCTCTTTAAAAAGCACTTTATTTTATCTTAATAATGTGGGCGGCAGTGTTGTCGGTGGTGAAGGAGGAGACCTTGCCCGAGGCATTCAAGCTGTTGGTCGAGCACAACATCCTCGCTGCGCCGGTGCTGGGCAAGGCGCGCCACTTCCTCGGCTTCGTCGACATGCTCGACTTTGCCCAGTTCATTATAACCGAGGTACTCTCGCCTTCATCGCTCGAGCCCTGTTGACTTGGCGCCTAAACTCGACAACAACGATGCCCCGACTCCAGTTCGGCGACAAGTCCATCCAAAGCATGGAGGACGTGCAGGGCTTGATGCGCAACCTGGACAAATGGAACTCGGCCAAAGTCAGCGACATCATGCGTACGGCCTAGCTTATGATGGGTGGTTTGGTGATGAAGTAGCCAATTGAGCGCATGACACCACTGCAGGGTCATCGCGCGGCAAGGCCGAAGTGGTGGCCAAGGGCTACTCGCTGCTTCACGCCGCCGAGATTCTGGCGTGGTCGGGAGCCCACAGGTGCCCGGTGGCAGACAGCAGCGGCCACATCTGCCACATCGTCACGCAGTCGATGCTCATCGACTTTGTGTGGCACCACATCGACGCCCTCGGCGAGAAGCGCCACACGCGGGTCGACCAGCTCCGGCTCTCGCCAGGCACGGTCGTTTCAGTCGACGCCAATGTGAGAACCCTCAGCGCTCTGTCCGTCATGATCGAGAAGGTGTGTACTCTCGTCCCAACCACCGATAACTGTGTTGTGTGCGTGTGTGTCGTGTGTGTCGTGTGTGTCGTGTGTGTCGAGTGTGCCGTGTCGTAGTTGTGTGGTGCAAGTTGGCGAAATGATGCGTTGGGGGGAATGCTGGATCAGGGCGTGACAGGGCTGCCGGTGGTGAACGAGGAGGGCGCCGTGGTCGACAACATCTCGACCCGTGATCTGAGGGTACTCCAGCACCAGCTTGGTGCGGTGGTCAGGACCGCGGGACTGATCGATGGTCGTTTGTTGCGCGCAGGGAATCAAGTACGACGCCAAAATGCTCTGGCGGTTGTGGGAATCGGTGGCGTTCTTCAAACGTAGGATTGTGGAGGGCGATCAAAAGGTACACGAAGAGAACTCCGCCCCACAAGAGCGACGCATGTGCGATTCTCTGCCTGTCGTTAACAACAACAACACACAAAAACGTTTTGCAGGCTCCGACCGACGTCGTGTACGTGCTGAATTCGGACACGCTCGAGACGGTGGTGCAAAAGATGGCCGACCATCACATCCACCGCGTGTTCGTTGTGGATGACGAGCTGCACAAGCGACCCGTCCGTGTGCTCTCCCAGTGCGACATCCTCCAAAACGTGCTTCGGACCTAAAACTCTGCACCCTGTCGGCCTTGCTCAACGAACATCAAACCCTAGCCCTGTTCGATGCGAACACGAGAAACTGTGGTCTGTTGGCCAAATTTCAATCCATGCAACAGCAGAATTAAGGTTTATGGGGTCTGGAAGTTAACCGGGTCCACAACGGCGCGTTGGGTCGGGGCCAATTGCCATGCTTCCCGCCAACAGGTGTGTGGCTCGGCGCCAGCGTTGTTGGTTCCTCCCCGAACGCACTCGAGGACACAAACAACACCACCGGCAGTTAGGCATGTCGCGTCTCGCTGCCCGAACCGCGCACAACAAGAACAACAACAAGAAGGAGTCCTCTCTCGCCGACTCCAAGCCCGCGCTTGAGAAGGGCGTCTCCGTTGAGGAGGTCTTCAAATGGTACCTTTGCTCTTCTCCACTTTGTCACAATGGATTGAATCAAGAGCCGCGCGCTCATCGGGGCGAGCGGAATGAGTGCAGGTACATTGTGACGGAGCTGCGCGACTTCTTGCGCAAGAACGGCCTCCCGGTGTCAGGCCGAAAGGCCGACCTCGTTGAGCGCGTCGTCGGCCACCTCCACTCCGGCTCGCGCGGCTCCTCGTCGAGCAACGACGAGTCGAGCGAAGACGAAGAAAAGAGCGAAAGCGAAAGCGAAAGCGAAGGCGAAGGTACGCACCCCATGGGTGCACGATACTCGGTGGTGCGCATCTGAAGCGCCACGTCAACAAACTACAGAGTCGAACGACGAAGATGAGGCCAGCGAGGGCGACGAAGACGAGGAGGAAGAGGACCGGGGCGATGCCTACGTTGAGAAGGTAGGATTCGAGAGGACTCTGCAGCAGATCGCCAAGGCGGCCGGGTTCGAGCCCGAGCCGCTGCTCATGCTCGACATCAGCCAGTTCGAAACAAAGCTTCAGGCCAGGGTCATCTTCTCCTTCTTCATCTGCACACTCCGCCACCACCACACAGGCACATGGGTTTCCAATGCTGACGTCATCATCGTTGTTGTCACCTCTCTGCAGCTGGGAAGCTACGCCCGCCTGCCCGACGAGCTGTGGCAGCTGTACCGCTTCTCCAATGGGTTCTGCTGGGGCGAGAAGGACCTCCAGGTGTTTCCGCTCGCCGTCAGCTGTCGCGAAGACATCTTCGGGGCGGATGAGGAGGACACGGACCTGCGCCGCGACTACTCGCCCTACCACCACCCGGCCTGGATCCCGTTCGCCTGCCGTGGTGAGTATGACCACTTCCTGATCAACGTCAACGCCGAGTCGGAGAGCTACGGCCAGGTGAAGAGCTGGTCGGACATGGACGCCTACGCCAAGTTCGTGGCTCCCTCGGTCCAGTCCCTGCTCACCAGGCTCCTGAAGGGCGCACCGCAGCGCCGGCGCAAGGGCAGGCGACGACGCTGACCAGGCGCCTGTGTGCGCGTGTGCGTGTGCGGTTCCTTGGCGGAACCGACTGCAAAAATGAGAGATTGGAAGACTTCGTGTCGGGTAGCATGTGCTCCTTCGTTCATTATTGAAGCACACAGCCCTCTGCGGCAGCGTCGTCACCGAGCCGGCACAAAAGCTCGTGGTCGGGGATGTGGCACCCGCCGTTGTGGACGTAGCTTGCCGGCTGCAGCTCGCCCAACAGCACAGACGCGGCCAAGCTCTCAAACGCCTCACGCACTGCGCCTCACGGCGGCGAAAGTTAACTGTTAATCGCTGGCGCCTGTGTTGTTTGCGAGAGAAAGGCGGCGCACCCCCGCTTCCGGTCAAGCTGCTGGTCTCGGTCCACAGGGCGCCCAGCTCGAGCGCGAGGGCCTGGCCTTCGGCTGCAGTCACCTGCCTCCGTTTCTCCAGGTCGCATTTGGCTCCAACTGTCGGTTGCGGACACGACCCAGAACGCGCACCACATACACAGCACACGCGACACACAGTCCCTGAGTAATAAGACCTGCGCTTCCGGCCAAGACTTGGTACCGAGCATCAGGACCGGCGGTTCCGCGCCCAAGGTGTCGCTCACCGCGTCGAGCATGCTGTCCACCCACCACTTGACGCGATGGAACGAGGCCAGGTCGGTGATGTCGTAGACCACCAGCGCTCCAGCGGCTCCTCGGTAGTAGTTCTTCGACATCGAATGAAAGCGCTCCTGCCCGGCCGTGTCCCACACTGCATGTGTTGGGTGTGTGGTGTCGTGTGTTGTGTTTGCGTTGCGTCGTGTCGTGTCGTGCCGTGTTGCGCCGTATCGTGCCGTGTCGTGCCGTGTCGTGCCGTGTCGTGTCCTCATGAGTGGAAAATTGTGGGTGGCAAGCCACAACGTACGTTGAAGGATGGTGGGCTGTCCCTCGACGGTGATCTTCTTCGAGGCGAAGTCGATAATGGAGTGGTGTGAATCGAGCGTGAAGAAATTGTCTGTGTAACGAATCTTGAGAGCAGTCTTGCCCGCACCTGAACACACGCAGGCCACGTGGCGCATGCCTTAATCACAACACAACAACATGCGCCAGGCAAGTGACCGATCAGACAAGATGGATGACGCACCAGCAGCACCGCAGAGAACGACCTTAAGCAGGTGCTGACGATGCGCCAGTGTGCTGGGTGGCGCTGATTGGTTTGTTGAGGTGGTTGCTGGCGCCACTGCCCACGGATACAAATGCACACAGCCAATTAGTTCGAATTGTTGATCATAGGCGGAATGTGCTGCACACGCCGACATACATCGTTTACGGGCAAAGCTTCGCAGTCTAGGTCTGAGCCACTCCATGTAGCGGGTCTTCCATGGTACGCCAGCGGTGTCAGCCCACCTGGCATCACAGAACCGACGCCAGATGCAGTCGGCACTGCTCAGTTGATCCAGCATCTGAAAATGTACCAATGTTAGTGTGCGTGTGCGTGTGCGTGTGCGTGTGCGTGTGCGTGCGTGCGTGCGTTGTAGAAGTACGCAGCAGGTCTGAGCCACACAACACAGATCGTAGGGTTCGAGCTTCTCCATCACGCAGAGCAGCACTTCTGCGGGCATGCACAGCAGGGGGCACTCCGTTTCATAGTGACGCTTGAGCAGGTCGGCCAGGCGAGCGTGCCCTGCCTCCCTTGCCACCTGTCAAAAGAACGAAGAGCGCGAAAGAGAATGAGCGAAGCTATCCAACCTCTGCGGGGGAGGAGTTTGCACCTGCGACGCATCGCCGTGGTCGCTCATCGCAAGCGCATTGGCGCCGTGTGCGAGTAGCAGTGTCACCACGCTCTCGTCGCCGTGGCGTGCGGCGTAGTGGAGCGGCGTCTGACGTTGGTTGTCGCGCCTGTTGATGCCATAGCCGCAGTCAATGTGCTTTCCTTGGAGGAGAAACTGGATGACCGGCCAATTGCCATTGGCGCAGGCCAGGTGGAAGGGAGTGGCGCCCGTGCTGTCCGACCTGCTTGTCCACGGACGATGCGTGAGAAGCGTCAATGTGTGTCGTGTGTGTCGTGCCGTGTGAGTTGTGAGTTGCAAACAAAAGCAGAGGGCGTACGCCGTAGCGCTGGCGCCGGCGTTCAGCAGCAGTGACCAGAGCGTGCAGTTCGGTCCGCCCCTCTAGTTGCAACCAGCGGAGCTCCAAGTAAGTGTTGCGGTCATGTAGAGCCGGGGGGGGGGGAGCTCGCACGATCGATGAGCTCCAATATGGCTGCTCTGTCGTCCTGGACCACGGCGAACATGAGGCGATCGACTGCTTCAGGCATCTGCTCTCGTGCAGCTTGCTTCTTCATGGCCCAGCTGTATTGACTGAGATTTACAGAGCCGCGGAAGCAAGAAGATAGAAAGCAGTTTTCCTCATCTGTGTGTTCAAGGAATCAGAAGAGAGAATTTGGAGCGTAGAGACAGAAGAAGATGTGCAGATTTCTGGTGTACATCGGGAAGGAGCCGGTCCTGCTGGCGGATCTGCTCACCCGACCGAGCCACTCTATCATCCAACAGAGCTGGGACAGTCGGGAGCGCATGACCGCCGGTCCGTTGAACGGCGATGGCTTCGGGGTGGGTTGGTATGCCGCCTTCGACCCCACCCCCTGCATCTTCACCTCCATCAACCCGGCCTGGAACAACCTCAACCTTCGACGGTACCCCCCTTCCTCCATCTCTTCCCCTTCATTTTCCTTCATTTTTACTTTTATATTCTTAACAATTATTTGATTAGGCTTGCAGACAAGGTCATGTCGAGGCTCATCTTTGCTCATGTGCGAGCTGCCAGTTTAGGTACGTGCCGTTTGCGCTCTCTTCGTTTGGTAGTCCACCTTGCTGATGAGCTTTCTCGAGATGCAACGCGTGTGGTGTGCTTGCGCAAGTGCAGGTCTGCTCATCAACGAGGCCAACTGCCACCCATTTTCGTTTGGACCCTTCATTTGGATGCACAACGGTCAGATCGTGGGCTTCACCTCCATCAAACGAAAACTTGTACAGTACATCGACGACCAACTCTTCAACCACATCCAAGTACATCCCTCCTCATCCCGCCGTTACTGTTCCGTGTGTGTGATTGATTGTGTGGTGTGCGTGTGCGTGTGCGTGTCGTGTGTGTGCCTGTGTGTGTGTGTGTGTGTGGTACTGCGTGTGTACTCCCACAGGGCACGACGGATTCGGAGTACAGCTTCATGTTGTTCCTGCAGATCCTATTCTACGGTGGTAAGTGCCGCAGCGACGGCAGCCACGCTTCGAGCGTGGTAGACCTCGAACAGATTCTGAAGGCTGCCGACGACGGTGACACGACGTCCTCCGCCGAGGGCGAAACGGCGAAGCGATTCACCGCCGACGAGATGCGGCAGGCGATGACCAAGACCGTGCGGCTCATCGCCAAGTGGACCAGCAAGACCTGCACCCGGGCCGAACGCGAGCGAAGCGGCTACTCGCTGCTTAACTACGCCGTGTCCGACGGCTTCACTGCCGTCGTCACCCGGTACACCACCCGCACCACCACCGCAGCAGCCAGACGTATGGCCATGGCTGACTCTCGGCTCTGGCCCTTCGCAGCTTTACTGACGATCCGATCGGACCGCCGGCGAGTCTGTACTACACCTCGGGCACGCGATACCAGGCCAAGAAGAAAGGTATTCCAGCAATGCCGACGTCAGACGCTGCGGTGGGCCTCACAGTGCGCATTCTCCGAATTTTCCCCTCCAGGCGAATACCACCTGGTGCAGGAGAGGCGCCAGGAGTGCTTCATCATCGCCAGCGAGCCGCTGAGCGTGAGCGAAGATGACCGGCGCGACTGGGTGCCGGTGCCCAAGAACCACTGCGTGGTGGTCACGTCGCAGCACAACCTGCTCCTCTACCCCATCAACCTCGCCGCTCCGGTCAAGGAGCCCATCGGCCCATCGAGCGACCACCAACGCCTCAAGCCCCTTAACAACCAGCCAGGTTGCCGAATGGGTGCATGATGTGAATCTTCAACTGATGTCATTGTTTCTGTTCGCGATTATGCACAACTCTCTTGCTTTCGTGAGTGGTGTGTAGTGTCACTGGTTAGGAGAGGGAGCACGTCTGCTTGTCCTTCGACGAGCCCTCGTCGTGGGGGTTCTTCTTCGGGGTCGCCATGTGCATCTCACGCACCAGCTCGAAGAAGCAGGCCTCGACATTGATGCATGATTTGGCCGACGCCTCGAGGTACTGGCAGCCGAAGGACTTGGCCAGGTCGGCGCCCTCTGACGTGGGCACCACCCGCAGGTGCTCCAGGTCGCACTTGTTGCCCACCAGCACCATGGGCAACCTGGCGAGGTCGTCCCTGGCCCGCAGTCGCTCGCAGAAGGTAGAGATCTCATCGAATGACCCCCGGTCGGTGATGGAGAAGACGCACAGTAAGCCCGGGTACTCGCGTGGGATCATGTCCCACTTCATGCCTGTGGTACTGGCCCCGGTGAACTCGTCCTCGCCGCCGGTGTTGAGGATCTCGAGCAGGCAGGTCTCCTGGTCTATTTTGAACTGCTTGCGGTAGCTGTCCTCGATGGTCGGGTCGTGGCCTTCCACGAAGTGGTTGTTGATCAGTTGGAAGGTGAGTGCAGACTTGCCCACACCGGCGCCGCCAGCCACTGCCAGCTTAAAATCAGGCTCAGCCATCATCTTGTATTTGGGGGTGTTCGCTTACTCCTCCATGTTGTCTTTTGTTCCTCTTTTGACCCCGTAAAGACACTCTCGAAAAAGGGAAGGTCAATAGTCATTTTTGTGAGTGCGCTGAAAATCTCTTCCTGGCGCGAAGCTCAGGGATTGACTTGCTGGAGGCGTTGGTTGGTCACTAGAATGTGTTTAAATTGTTTAGCTGCCTTGCGCGTGTTCAAGTCACGTTGAGGAGGACTAGAGGCAATGCGTTCAGGTTGGTCACAATGTGAAGTTGGCGAGCGCCTTGTTGATTCTTCTTATTAGAGGCCTCGAAGTTGTCCTATTCTTGTATTTTGACCTCATAAGAAAGAGAGACACAGAAGCTATGTGCGGGGTCTCTCAGTTGCGGTGGCCGTTATTTGGCTGCTCCTGGGGCGGGTCCGGAGGATAGCCCTGCTGCTGATGTCGCTGCTGCTGCTGGAGTTGATGTCGCTGCTGCTGCGGCAGAGGCTGCTGGTAGTGCTGCTGGAGCATTCGAAACCCGCCATCCTCAGGCTGCGCGTAGGCGGTGTGCTCTCGTTCGTAGCAGAGGCTGGCGTCGTGCGCGGGCGACGACGACGCGGAAGACGCAGTCGACGACGAGTCTGAGTACGAGTGATAGCCGTCGCGCCCCAGGTCGTCGATGTCGCGATGATCGGTGCCCTTGACAGACCCGCGGCCGGCGCCTCCCGACGACGACGAAGATGGCGGAGTGACTGGCGGCAGTGAGAAGGAGAAGGAGGGCAGGAAGGGCAGCGGCACGGACAGCGGGCTGATGTAGGGCGGGAAGAAGAACTCTGACGTCGGCGACGGCACGCAGTCGATCGGCGAAGCCGGTCCAGCCTGGTCCTCCTGCTGCTGCTGCGACTGCTGGGCCGGCGACAGTGTCTGTTGCTGCGGCTGCTGGGTCGAGGAGCAGTTGGCCGGTGCCGGCGGTTGCTGGGCGGTGGCGGAGGGCGGCGACGGCGAGGACTTGCCGGTCGGGGTGGGCGGGCTAATGTAGTGCGGTGGGACGTAGGGGAAGCTGGGCGAGTAGGCGTGCGGGAGGGGCATGCCCGAGGCCGGGTGGTGCGGCGGGTACTTCTGCGTCGGCGGCTGACCCGAGTGCTGGCGCTGGAGCTGGTGGTGGGTCGGGCGCTGCAGCGGTCCTACGTGGTGCGAGCGCATAAGTTGGTGGTGATGGAGACTGTGCTGAGGGTGCGGTGGCGGCTGGTGCTGGAGTGAGTAGTCGGCCGGCACTGACGGCGTCTGGAGCATGTCGAGGAACGAATGCGGCTCGCCGAGAACGCGCTGATGATGCTGGATCAGGTACGGGGCGAAGGGAGGCGACGGCGCGCAGCCGGTGAGCGGCGACGGTGACGACGCGATGCGCCCCAGGTGGGCCGCGCCCGATGCCGGCGATGAGAAGTAGCCGTCGCTGGGCGATGATGAGTTGAGCCGACCGCCGCCGGGCGACACTTGACGGCGCCCTAGCGCGGGTCTGTTGGCTCGGTCGGGAGATGAACAGGGAGAAGAGGAAGAGGACGAGCCCGAGGGAATGGTAGTGGGGCGCATCGACGATGATGACGACGACGGCATCGTGGTGCTAGAAGAGCGAGTCGACGACAACTCCTCGTCATCGTCACACTCGGCTTCTTCCACGATTTCCTCCTCTTCTTCATCGTCGCAGACCGTGCTGGAGACCGTCATCCTGGGCTTGCCGCCCGGTGCACGCACGCGGAATCCCTTGTAGCAATGCTTCGCCTGCGGGAAACCATGAACGATGAGTCGGTACAGCAAACAAAGCCATCATTTACAGAAAGTAAGCAGTGGTGAAGATGTGGGCGATCATACCTTGCCCTTGGCGCCGGTGCGGGAGCTCTTGAGTCCGGGGAAGGCGCGGTGGACCATCTTGCCGAACATGGAAGGAAGCATGGGATCCTTGCCGTCGGCCTGGCAGAAGGTCAGGTACTCGCCGTAGACCTCGTCCTTGGCCAGCGACGTCCCGCGCACCGCTTCGAAGTTTTCCCGCAACCTGCCGAAATGACCCGACACAAGAATGTAAGTTATGCACGAATCCAAAAACGCTCCGAAATGATATTACAAAAAATTAAGAATACATATGAATAATGTCGGAACACACCAGTGTTGCTACATTGAGCACAATAATGAAATAGAAATACGAAGGGTGGGAATAATTACCAAGCGAGGAGGCGGGGTGCGGTGTGGAGGTTCTTCTTGCGGCTGGGTGCCGGCGCGGGCGGCACGTAGGATATGAAGTTGAGCACGTTTTTCGCACGCTTCTGCCGCTTCCGGCCGCCGTCGCCACCGTTGCCGCCACCGCTCAGGTGGAGGCTGTGTCCGATCTCCTCTTCCTCCTCATCTTCCTGTTCTTCCTCCGCTCCGTCGCCGTCTTCGTTTTCTCCTTGCTTCTTCTTGGCGACCGGCTTCTCTATGCGTTGCCTCTTAGCAGTCGCCTGCCTCCTCCTCCGCGGATCGGCTCGCTGAGCGTCGTCTTCTACCAATCCGTCGAGCATCTCTAGCGTCGCGCCATTTTCCTCGCCGCAGCCCATCCTGGTCTTCCGTCTGGTGGTCGATGCTGTGGTGGTCGTGGCCGACGGCGCGCTCACCTCGTCCATGGCCTCCGGGGTCTCGCACCTCCTTCTATCACCTCTTCCTCCTCCTCGTACGCCTGCGTGTGGATGGTGTCGCTGTTGGTAGATTGTCCGCTGGTGCTGTTGGGCGGCAGACGGCGTGTCGACATTCACTCCGTCTTCGGGTGTGGGCCTCATCATTACCAGCGGCTGCTGAGGGTGGTGAGTGGCCGAATCGGTCAGATGGGCGAGAGGTGTTTGGTCGGCGGAGAAGTGGAGAGAAAGTAACGAAGTGCGGTAACGAGAAAGATGTGCCGGGTGTGATGGCCAGAAGGGGGGGGGCAGTGAGAACTGTGCCGAGGTAGTGGAGAGTCTAAGAATAGTGTGACACAACAGTGGGGTGAAGGTACGATGGTTGAGGGTGAGAGGGTGCCGGTGGCTTGCTGCTCACAGCTCTGCACGTGTCGGTTTGTTTCGCAAGTCTTGCCGGCCTCTCTAGCGGACTTCGAGTTATGTCAGGCCGGTAGGCTACCGTATCGTCGTTCGTTGTCGAGGTTGAGAATTACAACTGACCAAACAAGGGCGTAGGAGTGCTTTTGCCCCCTCTCTCGTTTGCCATTGGCCGAGGAAAGCGAACGGCGTATGAAAATGCCGGGACTCAATTAAGAAATTTCAATTCCTGGTCGTCGAACTTTTTCCTCCGAAAGATATGGGAAACTTCCTTTTTCCGGGCCAATGAGGGCAGCTCTCCTCCGGTTGCCTGGCGCATCTCTCTGCCAAGACCATCAGTCGGGTGTCTGGTACGTTCAGCAGGTCATTCCCACAACTAGTACCGCAACCTTTTCCCCAATCGGGAAGGCGCACTCGCTCCAGCGGGGTAAAGTTGGGCCTGGACGGAGACATGTGCATACATGCACCTCATGATTGTAGTTCCCGGATCTCCAGCGCAGAAAACACATGAACCCCATTGGGGGACAACTGCAACAAGGTGGCTTCAGCGCGTGCTAGATCACCTCTACGTCCCTCCTCTTGCTCCAGGGTCCGGTCTGTCACGAGACAAGTTTGTAAGATAAGAAGGATTAGAAGTTGAGAGGTAGACACGCCTAGCGGATCTGGGTCCAGGCACAAGAAGGCGACGTGCCGCGAGGAAGAGACCAGACGACCACTTGAAGATCATGAACGACCACACTGCCACCCCGCAAAGTTGCGCAAAGAGAAAGGTAAGTCGATAGGAAGGTGGCCGGAGGAAAACTCAGCGCCCAATGGGAGGGATGACGAGTAAGATGTACCGATCGTAAGCCAGTGCGAGGTGGAGTTAAGGGACTCGTGGTTGCCTTGCGCCAGCAGCGCGTAGGTGATGATGCCGCCGATGCCCACCGACGCGCCGGCGGCCGCGGCCACGAAGCAGAGCCAGCGGAAGACCCACCAGCCCACGGACTCTGGTTTCTCTGCCACGAGGTGGCCCCGCCTGCTGTGCCGTTGGCTGTCGCTCGGCACGCGGCCTCGCCGATCCCGCTCCGTTGGCATCCCGCCCGTTGTGGAGGAAACTGTTTCTTCTTCCCCCTCGTCGTAGAGGAAATCCGCTTCGTCATACGGCTGTTCTTCGCACCTTCGGATGGCCTTGAGTGTGCGGTAGTCCTTGATGGTGAATGCCATCAGCAGCATAGCGTAGACGCCCGAGGCAAGTGCGAAACCGGCAGTCTCCCATGCTCGCAGGTAGAGGAAGCACGCCCCCGCGCTGAGACCCGCCAGTACGCCCACAGCAGGCCAAACAATCTTTAGTATGCCCTTGGTTGTCTCCCAGTGCATTGCGTATTCGCCGAGGGAAGCACTTGTCTGTCGAGAGTAGGTGAGCGCAGGTCGGTTGGTGCCGCTCTGGCTGGTGCGCTGGCGTCACGGTGCACTCTCGCTTGCCGTCCACTTGGGTGTCTCTCCGTCGAAATTCCAACGTTTCGAAAAAGGGCAAACGCAAACCAAATTCTTTACATTCCTCTCTGCTTCCTCGAAAGCCAAAGAATAATATGATTTACATTATTTATTTTCAAATCAAGAATCGAAGGACGGCTGGGGGCGATGTCGTTGCGATCGCGCAGCCAAAGGGCTGCGGTGAAAGTCGTTGACTATGTAGACTGGAGTAGTGAAGAAGAGGAGGAAGAAGAGGAAGAAGCGGAAGCGCCAAAATCACGAAGAAATGATCGAAAGAAGGGGCGATCCGCTGCTGATGAAGAGAGCGCATGGGCACTGCGGCTCGTGGTAATAGATGACGAAGAGCGCCGCTACGAGCTCACAGGCGAACCCTTTGATGCGCCCCTGCCGCCCCCCATCAAGGCCGCGAAGGACCGGCAAACGGAAGGACCGGCAAATGAAGAAAAAGGAGGGACGGATGCACCAGAGGCCGCGACAAATGGAGATGGAAAGGACGCGAAGAAGCGCAAGAAGGAGACGTTTTACGCAGCCATGAAAGAGATCGAGGGCGGACAGAACGTGGGGCTGCTCGAGGGGTGGTGGTTCTGCCTGCGCGCATCGAACGACACCCACGCGCTGGCGCTCGGCGGCAAGAAGAAGCTCACCAAGTTCCCCACCGAGGGCCTCATATCGTGTTTCCTCTCCTACGGACCACCAAACGTACCACCCAAGCACCGCACCGTACGCCCCCACCCTCAAGACACTCGTGGTGAGCCCAGGTTGCGTCGCGTCGCACTCACCACCAGCTTCCTTGCTGCAACAACGCCCTGCAGGTCACCTATTCGCTGGAGGACATCAGCTACGATGTGCAGCAGTCACACTTCACTGCCCTCAAAGAGAAGAAGCGACAGAAGACCGGAAAGGTATGAAGCCCCCCTCACGTGAGCGTGTGTTGATTGCAGGGTAGCACCGCTCACCCCGGCACGCATCGCGTCTGTACAGACGTACCACGTCGATCGCAGCAGCTCGCCCACCTGCGAAACGGACCAGTTGGTGCTGCGCATCGAGAACGGCAAGCTGATGGCCGTGCGGCTGTTCGTGGAGCTCAAGGACCTGCCCGAGGCGTGGAGGAATCGGGCCAAGGCCGAGGAGCGCTACCGCGAGACTCACGAGGTGCTCTTCCGCAAGCGCGAGGAATCCAAGCGCGTGCGGTTCGACGACGATCGCGTGAGCGTGCGCCTCTACCTGTGCAACGACCCGCCGGGCCAGCACCTCGCCGAAGAGAACACGCAGATCGCCACCGAGGAGGAGAAAAACGGTCGACAGAAGCTCAAGGAGAAGGGCGAGGGCGTAATGCTCAAGACCGTTCTCAAGACGAAGGTCAACGTTGAAGACGAAGAAGAGGGAAGCGAACGAGCCGACGCGGGAGCCGCAGCAGCGACGACGACGGCGACAACAGCGACAGCAGCCAAGCAGGCCGAGGGAGAGGGAGTGCAGCTGCAGCTGCAGCTACGGCCTGAGGAGGTGGCAACGAAAACGATCCGTGAGCTCAGAGCGATGCTCAAGGAGCGACGGCTGCTAACGGTCGGGAACAAGGAGACCCTCATCAAGCGGCTGATCGACGGACAGGCGGGGCAGCTGGCGTCGCCGCAGCGACCTTTGAAGGCCCAGGCGACGGCGGCGGCAGAAACGGCCAAGTCGAACAAGGCGGAAGTGAAGGAGAGGGCCAAGCCCAGCAACAAGCGAAAGCGAAAGAGCGAAGAGGAGGGAAAGGAGAGTAAGGGAGAGGACGGGGCGAACGAGGGAAGCAAGAAGACGAAGACGACGAGCAAGACGAAAACAAAGGAGAAGAAAGAGAAGAAAGAAAAGAAGAGGAGGAAGAAGAAAAATGAAGCGGCCGGATCCGAGATGAAGCCAGCCGAACCAGCGGGAGGAAGCGAGGAGAAGGAGACAACGACCGAGAGCAGCCAAGAGGAGGCGACTACTCAACAACCGGGGATAGCCGGCGAAGACGAAGGCGACGTTCGCCCGTCGTTGGTGTCGCTGAAGATCGGCCAGTTGAAGGAGAAGTGCAGGGAGATGAAGGTCAAGTGCACGGGGAAGAAGGACGAGCTGATCGCGCGGATCGCGAATGCGCTGGCCGAGGCAAGGCCGAAGGCCGTCGTCGCAGGCGAGGAGCTGGCCAGCAAGAAGACCGCGGACAACAACGGCGATGGAAGCGAGGCCATGGGCGATGAGGTGGCGGCCGTGCAGGAGAAGAAGAGCGAAGCGAAGGAGACGAAGAAGCGAAAGAGAACGAAGGAGAGCGAAACCCAAGGCAGTCCGGCGCGTCGAGGCAAGAAGCTGCTCGTGAGCACGAGCCAGACAGAGTCAGATGGCGCGAGCGAGGAAGTGGAGGGCGGAGGGGAAGAACCGAGAGTCGAAGTGGGCGACGAGCAGAAGAACGAAGACGAGACGGAGGAGCGAAAAGCGACGAACGAAAGTGAAGAGATGGCGACGACGACCGAAGGCCGAGCCCGAGGCTCGGAGGAGGAGACAAAACAAGCCGAACTGAAGAAGATGAAGGTGCCGGAGCTCAAGAACCTATTGAAGGAACACAAGCTCAAGATCAGCGGCAGCAAGGAGGAAGTCGTGGCTCGGCTCATGGATCACTTCTTCCCTCCTCCATCGTCGTCTTCTTCGTCATCTTCAACTACGAACGCAACCACGGCGTCTCCACGGGCAGCGTCGCGCAAGCGGAGAGCGACGCCAGAGGCCAGCGGAGCTGTCGACGGGGCGAATGCCAAGGCCAAAGGACCCGAGGAGGCGGCGGGCACAACGCAGAAGCGGCGGAAGATGGCAGACAAGACACCAGGTGCGAGCGCGGCAACCAAGGAAAAAGCGAAACGAGCGAAAAAGAACGAGGAAACAGAGGAGGGTGAGTCCGAGAGCGAGGAGCAGAAGGAGGCAGAAGAAGAGGAGGCGCCGCCACCCCAATCGAAGACGTCGCCCCGCGGATCGACCACCACGACAATCGCCGCACGAGGAAGAGGCCGAGGCCGAGGTCGAGCAGCAGCGACGGCCGCATCAAGCGTCGGACCAACCCCGCGCGCCGCACCAGCGTACGCCGCGGCCTTTCTTCTTCTGTCGCGGTTGTTGCTTGCGTTCAGTTCACTGGATTCGCATCTCACTCCTCGCGCGTCTCTCTTAGGTCGTCGCCGGTCGCGAGAAGCCGAGGAGTGAGAAGCAGTACCACGACCGCGACAGCGGCGGCGGCGCAGGGGGTACCGGGCAGTCCCGCCACGGGCGTCGGAGGGATGCGGAGGAGGGTTGGTCTCTCCCGCTTGGCGCGAGCGCGTCCCCTCCATCCACCCCAAGCCGACAGACGAGCGAGCAACTGATCGAACTGGAACCACGCGACCATGTACACATCATCACCACCGCGTCGCCAACAATGCCACACGACACGAAGCTCGTTCCTCTTCTTCATCACATGCTGATCTGCGGAAAAGAACGAAAGCGACAGCAGAGCGAAGGAAGTCCTGCTTTATGTTGAGAAGGCTAGGACGAAGAGGAAGGAGAAGGTGCTGGTGATGATGGTGGCGGCGAGGGTGGTGTGGTGGGGGAGAGAACGGGGAGGAGAGTGTTGACGTAGGAGTAGCGGGAGAAGGGAACGGAGAGGCGGCGGAACCAGACGTACTGGCTGTGGTGGGCCTGCATGGCGCGGTGGGCAGACCAGAAGGCAAGCCAGCCGGGCGCGACGAACATCTCGCCTTGCGCGGTCAGGCTCGACCACACGACGTCGAGCGGACCCACGTACTTGCGCACCAGGTTCGTCGTTTCCAGCTTGAACCCTCGCAGCTCGGCCCTCGGTACGGGAGGCGACGCGGTGGCCGCAGTCGTAGATGCTCGGTGCTTGAGCGTGGAAGAAGTCGAGGAAGAAGGAGTTGCATCTGATGAGGAAGAGGATGGAGTTGTCGAGGCGTGCAGAGCCAGAAATCGTGCTACGCCGTGAAAGACAGCGATGTGGTTGGGGTGAGCGCTGACGCCACCCTCATCGAAGGTGATGACGGTCTCCACGCCCTGCTCATCGACGTAGGCCTTCACGATTCTAGCGATTCGGTCTTCATTCCAGCGATTGAGCGGCCCATCTCGAAGCTCTTCGTCGTCTATGATCTTTATATCGGCTTTCTTGATCCCCAGCACCCCGCTTGCACTCGCGTAGAGCTCCTTGGTGCGCACCTTGCCTGTCGATGGCCCTTCGTAGTCGCCCGTGGACAAGCACAGCAGGTGGATGGAGCGATTTGATTGTGCAAGGGCCAGGATGGAGGGCACGAAGAACATGGCCTCGTCGTCGGGGTGCGCGATAACGAACAAGATTGGCCCTCGACGAGCATCTTTGTCCTCATCTCCACCTGCCGTTGCGTTTCGCGATCGGCTGTACACGACGAAGGCTGCGATGCAGATGTTGAGAAGAAACAGCGCCAGTTTGAGGTACTCGAGCATGGAGAGGGTGAGGTCGTCCATCCTGCACTTCTCTCCCGCTGGCCAGCCTTCTCAAGTGTAGCTGTCTCTCTTCCTTGCGTCCTCCTTACCTTTATTTATTTCTTTTGTTTGTTTATTTATTTTCTTTTTGCTGTTTGATTTATGGTTGGGGGATGCTAACCGTTTGGTGAAGCGGCCAGGTTCTTGGTTTGTTCTGTTCGCCCCACCACACCACACCACCCACCACACCACCACACCACCACACCACCACACACCACACCACACCGCACCACACCACACCATGCCCAGACGGAGGAACAGACGGCAGCAATCTGCTGTGGCCGAGACACGTGAAGGTAAGCTCTACGCCTCCATTTGATTGTGTCTTTACCAGCTGACTGTCATATCCCCAACCCGACAAGCAGTTGTGCAAACACCCCCAACCAAAGTGGGCGATGTGGTTGAGGCCCTTCTTGAGACGGAGGCTGAGCAGGCCGAGTGGCAGGATCATGAGTTGGAGAGCGGTGACGACGCTCAATACGATCTTCCGTGGGAGGTGTGGGTCTGTGTCCTCTCCTCCATGGACGACCCGCGTGACCTCTGCTCATTTGGTCTTGCCTGTCGCCTCTTTCAGGCCATCACCCAAACGTACTCCCGCTCCCATCCAATTGCAATGCAAACCAGTTCTTAACTCTTCATGCTCACCACCCCGACTTGCTGCGCTCGCAGGGGAATGGTGTGGCGGCAGCTGCTGGGCTCGACCTATGGATGGGTCTTTGACCAGTGGCAAGCCCACATGGACCT